CCTCATTTGCACATTTTTGAATTGGTGAAAGAATCAGAAATAATGGAGGCAGCTCGGGGCTGGGGAGCGCTGGGGGGGCTCTGCCAGGACCTGCTGGGGAAGGCGAGGGGGAGCAGCTCGGTAATTAGGGTAAAAAGGAACGCGGGCTAATTTGGTCCCGGGCGGCTTGGGGAGCTCATCCCTCCCAGTCCATCCCGCTCGGTTCTTCCCTCCTGGTTCATCCCTCCCTGTTCTCTCCGGCTCATCCCTTCCCAGTTCATCCTTTCCTAGTTCACCCCTTCCCAGTTCATTTTTTCCAGTCCATCCCTTCCCAGCTCACCCCTTCCCAATCCATCCCTTCCCAGCTCATTTTTCCCAGTTCACCCTTCCCAGTCCAACCCTCCGTGCCCTGCGCTGGTTCCTGGGGGAAGGAGAGGTGCTGGAGAGCCCCGGGATGGGTTCTCACCTCCCTTTCTCATCCCTCCCGATTCACCCCTTCCCAGTTCATTTTTTCCCAGTCCATCCCTTCCCACCTCTCCCGTTCCCAGTTCATCACTTCCCAGTTAATTTTTCCCAGTCCATCCCTTCCCAGCTCTCCCGTTCCCAGTCCATCACTTCCCAGTTCATTTTTCCCAGTTCACCCTTCCCAGTCCAACCCTCCGTTCCCTGCGCTGGTTCCTGTGGGAAGGAGAGATGATGGAGAGCCCCGGGATGGGTTCTCACCTCCCTTTTTGGGGAGCAGGAGAGGCGATGGAGAGCCCCGGGATGGGCTCAGCCCGGCTGCTCCCCGTTTTTGGGGAGCAGGAGAGGCGATGGAGAGCCCCGGGATGGACTCAGCCCGGCTGCCCCCCGTTTTTGGAGAGCAGGAGAGGTGCTGGAGAGCCCCGGGATGGGTTCTCACCTCCCTTTTTGGGGAGCAGGAGAGGTGATGGAGAGCCCCGGGATGGGCTCAGCCCTGCTGCCCCCCGTTTTTGGAGAGCAGGGCTCTGCCACCCGCAGCAGCGTCCAGCAGGGATTTGGGGCTGGAATTCCCGTCCCTGCCGCCTCGCACCCTTTTCCTGCAATTGGAGCGTCCCAGAGGGAAGGGTCGCTATCCCAGAGGGAAGGGTCGCTATTCCCGGAAGGAAGGGTCGCTGTCCCCGGAGGGAAGGGTCGCTATCCCCGGAGGGAAGGGACGCTATCCCCGGAGGGAAGGGACGCTATCCCCGGAGGGAAGGGACGCTATCCCCGGAGGGAAGGGACGCTATCCCCGGAGGGAAGGGACGCTATCCCCGGAGGGAAGGGACGCTATCCCCGGAGGGAAGGGACGCTATCCCCGGAGGGAAGGGACGCTATCCCCGGAGGGAAGGGACGCTATCCCCGGAGGGAAGGGTCGCTATTCCAGAGGGAAGGGTCGCTATCCCCGGCTGGCCGCGCTGGTTCCAGCGTGACACCGGAGAGCTGCCGGGGCACAAAGGCAGCCTTGTCCCGGCCGCGACAAACCCGAGCGCGATTCATATGGAGATCCGGCCAGTACCGCGGCATCAATCCGTGCCGAGCCCCTCCCGGCTCCAAACTGTTTTACATTTACACAAAAACGGTCCTGTCCCCTCCGCGAGCCCTGAACCCCGGCCTGCTGCCTGTCACCCTGCCCGCGGGGTGTCCCCTGGAGCCCCGGGTGTCCCCTGTCCCCTGGGGGTGTCCCTGGAGCCCAGGCTGTCCCTGGGGACCGGGAATGTCCCTGGAGCCCGGGGTGTCCCCTGCCCAGCCTGGTGCTGGCGGAGCTGTCACCGCTGAGCTGTGCTGGCTTTGTCCCCAGCGTCCCCAGCCCCATCCCGGTGCCTGGAAGAGTCACTTTGTCCTGCAGAAAGCTCTCAGCCGTGTCCCCCTCTGGCAGAACCCCTGCCCTTCACTCCTTTTGGCCGGGCTTTTTGGTCAGGGTTCATTTTTTTTCTAAATAGTGATGGAGAGGGGATTTCCCCCCCCTTTTTTCTCATTTTGGTGATAACACAGAACCTGCAACCCTGACCCCACAGCATCCTCACCCCACAGCACCCACCATTTCCACCTGTGGCTGATCTGGGCTTTTGGGCTCTCCCAGCTCAGGCTGGACCTGTATCCATGTGGAAGTTTCTGCCTGGCGTTTCTGGGGGATGAGCAGCAGGCAGAGCCTGTGCTGCCCTCCTGCTTTGGGCTGGGATAGAGTTAATTTCCTCCTGGAGCTGCCCTGGGTGATAACTCAGGGATGCTCTGGGCTGGAGACTTATCTCCTGAGAGTGCATCCCCTGATCTCTCAGCTCAGTACCGGGAGGAGTTCTGCTCCAAAAATCATCAGGAATCGTGAAGCAATTAACTCTGGGAAGTTATGTTGGCCCAGTTTTTGAAGTCTGCTTTGATTCCCTGCCTGCTGTGGCTGTTAATCACTACTTAATGCAGCTTTCTGCATTTTTATCATCATTTTATCTGCTGTAATTTATTGTGTGTCACCTTAACCGAGGAAGCGTTTTCATGTGTTGAATGTCTCCATGTAGGAAACCCCTGCTCCGATGCCCCTCAAGTGCCAGTTGTTTTATTAATTAAAAACAAACATTTATCAGCTTAATGGAGAGGCAGAAGGGGTTATCCCTCCTCCTGGGCACGCAGTCTCCTCTGGAAATCCCAGTTCTTCCCAAGGCTCCCCAGTGCTGTGTCCTGTACCTGCAGGCACTGCTTGGCATTCCCACGGTGCTCTCTTAGGGTCAGCAAGAATTAACTGTAAATTTAATTAACGTTCCTAATGTTCGGGCTAAAGTGGAGCGCAGCAAAGGCAGCTCTGCTCTCTGCCGCTTTGAGCCAGGGCTGGAGGGAGCGGGGTGTTGTCAATAATTAACCCGGCTAATTTAGGGGAAGTATTAGGGCCTTAATGAAGATGTGAAATGTTTAATTGTTGTGCCAGGAGCTGGGAGTGCTGGGGCTGCTGAGGAAGAGGGGGTGTTGCACAGTTAATTGCTGTTCCCGAGGGGATCCCGGGGTGTCCCCGGTTCAGTTCAGGGACTGAAGGACCCCGCACCCACCACAGCCACGGGAGCCGCTGGGAGACCCCACCCAACCCATTGAAACTTCATTAAAACTTGTTTTAATCACGTTGTCATTAAGCTGTGGATGGCCCTGGGGGCTCAGCCTGGCCCCGATGTCCCTGTGCAGGACAGGGAGGGATGAGAGGCGTTTTCCAGGGCCGGGCTGTGGTTCAGCGTGGCCTCTCCGGGTCCCCATCCCCAGGGTTTGTTTGGAATAAACAATTTATCGCCCACTGAGGAGCAGGGCTGGCTCCGGCCCTCAGGCCAGTGCTGGGAGGGCTGCATGAGGATGAGGAGGAGGATGAGGATGGAGCCGTTCCGAAATCCCAGGCGCACACAGCAGGGATGCCTCGGAAGGTGCCAGGAGAAGCTGGTGATGCAGCCTGGAAAGCCCTGTGGCATTTCCTGCATGGAATTAAAGTTCAGGACGCTTGGCTGGCTGGGAAGCCCCGCAGGAGAGGGGGTGAGCTGTGCTGTGCTCCCAGTGAGTCCCCATCCCCATCCCCATCCCTGGGGATTTCCTGGGCTCTGGAGCAGCCCAGGAGGGGATAGGGACGGGTCTAATCCCTGTTTGGGAAGGTGATTCCCAGCAGGAGCTCTGTCAGGCAGCCTCTGGGAAGTTATTTGGGGAAGAAGTGCAGGGAAGGATGGGAAAAGCAGCTGTGGCTGCCCTGGGATCTGTGGATCATCTGGTGCCAAAGAGAGGGGCTGTGCTGCCAGGTGAGGGCACCAGGGACAGGAGCTGCCTCTAAAAACGCTGGCACTGTGCAAAAATTAAAATAAAAGTGTAGGGGCCGGGGTGGGGAAAGCCACAAATGGCTCCTGCTCTTGTCTGGGGGAGGGAGCTGTGGGGCGTCCCTCGCAAATGCTTTTAATAAAGTGTTCTTTCCTGAGTCCAGGGGAAAAATCCCAGAAACCTCAAGCTTTTCCCATGACATAAGGAGCAGATGCTGCCGGGCACAGCCCTGTGCCTGTCCCCAGCCCCCTGCCAGGCACAGCCCCGAGCAGTGGGATGCAATTCCCGGAGAATCTCCGGCTGTTCCTGGCAGTGCCCAAGGCCAGGACGGGGCTCGGGGCACCCTGGGAAAGCGGCAGGTGTCCCTGTCCTGGCAGGGGTGGCACTGGGTGATCGGTGGGGTCCCTTCCCAAACATTCCAGGGTGTTGTGGCTCTCCCCGGCGCTGGAAGAGGAGGCTGCGGAGGGCAGTGGGCAGGTGCCTGTGCTGGTGGCAGGGAGGACCCGTTCTGTCACACGGGGTGACACGGCTGGGTAATTTCTGCTGCAATTAATGCCTCATTAAAGTGCACGAGGGAACAATCAGAGCAGTGAATTTTACCCAGCACAATGGCTGGGCCCTCAGGGTTTTTCTGCCTTTCTTTTGAAAAGGAAACAGTCTTTTTCTGGCTTTAACTGCTCCCTGTCTGGAGGCAGAGGAGGAGGGAGCCTCGGTGGGCATCTCCATTCCCAGCTGGTGCTTGGGCATCACCCCCGTGATGGGATTTTCCGGGATTTTCCGGGATTTTCCTCTGCAATGCCACGGGGAGAGCTGAAACCTCCAGGACATGAAATCTGACTGGCGGCAGGGATGAGCACCAGCCTCGTCCCGAAATGTTCGCGTTGAGATGTCCCTCACCCACCGCAGCTGGAGGAGGGATTTCCAGGGCCGGGAAGGAATTCCAAGGTGGAGCAGCAGCCTGCAGGGTGGGGCAGGGTGACAGGGAGCTCCTTCCTAGGGACACACTCCGGAGGGGATAAAGGGAATGCTGAGATGGGCAGAGAGGCTGGAGCTCGGGGGCTCCTAGGAAGGGTTTTGAAGAGGAGGAGGTGACCAGGGGGGTGTGACAAGGTGGGACAGGAGGGAAAGGGGAGATGTGGCTGTGGCTGGGAAGCCCTTGAACATTTCTGGCCGGGTTTTGGGGCTCGTTCCCACCCGTTGTGACATCAGGTGGGAGCAGCTGAGCCCTGAGCGTGTCCCTCTGTCCTCAGGAGCCTGATGCCACGGACCCTGGAGGGCCAGATCACCATGGAGAAGACCCCCAGCTACTTTGTCACCAAGGAGGCCCCGCGGCGCATCCACAACATGTCCCGGGACACCAAGCTGATCGTGGTGGTGCGCAACCCCGTCACCCGCGCCATCTCGGACTACACGCAGACCCTCTCCAAAAACCCCTCCATCCCCAGCTTCCAGGCCCTGGCCTTCAAAAACCTCAGCACGGGACTGATCGACACGAGCTGGAGCGCGGTGAGGATCGGGATCTACGCCAAGCACCTGGAGAACTGGCTGCAGTACTTCCCGCTCTCCAAGTTCCTCTTCGTCAGCGGGGAGAGGCTGGTCAGCGACCCTGCCGGGGAGATGGGCCGTGTCCAGGACTTCCTGGGGCTCCACAGGGTGGTGACGGACAGACATTTCTACTTTAACGAGACCAAGGGCTTTCCCTGCCTGAAGAAGCCCGAGGGGGGGAGCAAACCGCGCTGCCTGGGGAAATCCAAGGGGCGGCCGCACCCCACAATCGACGGGCAGCTGGTGCAGCGCCTGCGCGAGTTCTACAGACCCTTCAACATGAAGTTCTACCAGATGACAGGGCAGGATTTTGGGTGGGACTGAGCCCATCGCCAGGGCACGCTGCTGGGTTGGCACCTGGCATGCCAGGACTGCGGCCCAGGGATGCCCAGTGGTCACTGTGGTCAAGGGATGTCCGTGGTCATCATGGCCCAGGGATGTCCATGGTCATTGTGGCCCAGGGATGCTCATGGTCATCATGATCCAGGGATGTCCATGGTCATTGTGGTCAAGGGATGCCTGTGGTCACCATGACCCAGGGATGTCCATGGTCACTGTGGTCAAGGAATGTCCATGGTCATCACTGTCCAGGGATGCCCATGGTTGCTGTGGTCCAGGGATACCCATGGTCACTGTGGTCAAGGGATGTCCATGGTCATCATTGTCCAGGGATGCCCATGGTCACTGTGGCCCAGGGATGTCCATGGTCACTGTGGTCAAGGGATGTCCATGGTCATCACTGTCCAGGGATGCCCATGGTTACTGTGGCCCAGGGATGTCCATGGTCATCATGATCCAGGGATGTCCGTGGTCACTGTGGTCAAGGGATGTCCATGGTCATTGTGGCCCAGGGATGCTCATGGTCATCGTGATCCAGGGATGTCCATGGTCATCATGATCCAGGGATGTCCGTGGTCACTGTGGTCAAGGGATGTCCATGGTAACTGTGGCGCAGGGATGTCCGTGGCCATCATTGTCCAGGGATGTCCATGGTCATCACTGTCCAGGGATGCCCGTGGTTACTGTGGTCAAGGGATGTCCATGGTAACTGTGGCGCAGGGATGCCCGTGGTCACTGTGGTCCAGGGATGTCCATGATCATCATTGTCCAGGGATGTCCATGGTCACTGTGGCCCAGGCATGCCCGTGGCCACCCCACCAGCACCCTCCTCCCTTTGTTCTAATTTATATCGGACCTTTTCTGGCAAGAAATGGACTTTTCTTGGAGTAGAGAGAACTATTTAATAAAACCTCAGATGAGCCCTCTCCCCTCCCTGAGCAGATTAAATATTCTTCCATATAAACCTTGCTGATCTCCGTTAACTGGGAGCCTTCTGGGTGGGAGAGTGGGTTTGTGTGCGCGGGGATCCCGGATCCACCACCCAGAATGAAACCTTTGGAAACCTCTGGGCCACACAGCCAGAGGGTTCTGGGGGTGACACAGTCCCTGGTGGCCAGGGGAGGGCTGGGCAGCACGCCCCAGTCCTGGGAGATGTTTTGGAGATGGAAAAGAGTCTGCAGGAATTTCCCAGCTGAGCAAAACAATGAACAGCGGCAGTTCTGAGTAAGTGCCAGGTCCTGGCTTAGGGAGAGGGAGCTGTGGATCACCTTCCCATGTTCCTTGAGTGGCCCAGCTGATAGGGCAGGGCTTTTCTAACCATTAGCAGGAAAATTCCAGCTTCTCCACAATTTACCCAACTCTGCCCTTTCAGTTCAATAATCTCAATAGTTTTTCAAATCTGCAGCCATCGAGGGTCATCACGGGAGGCTGCAGAAATTACTTTAATCTCTACTAACTAGTTTTCCCTTAATTAAAGATGGGGGAAACATTTAATTAACCTCTAAGATCTTATTAGCGACTTGTATTTGTCTCTTTAATGAGCTAATTATGAGTTTTGGAGGGCCCTCAGGCCCTGCATTATTTGCAAATCTGCTTTGGCTGTGGTTCCTTCCATCATGCAGCATCCCAAAGCTGCTGAGGTGCCTCCAGTCCTCCCTGCACGAGGAGGGAAGCAGGTCCCACTTCTGGGATGTACAACGGGCCTCATCCCTTCTCCTCCCAGCTCCGGGCTGGTTTCACACCCACACCTGGTGTTTCATCCCACACAGCTCTGGCACCTGGCACCTCCCTGGTGTCCCTGGGGGTGAGGTTTGTCTCCTGTCCCATGCTCCAGGCTGCAGGTGATGTTGGACATGCTCCTGTTCATTCCCAGGACAAGTGACACGTGCATAAGGTGATGCTGGAGGGAAAAGCAGGCAGCTGCCAGTTTCTGTGTGGAGAGGCCATCGAGGTGACAGGTGACAGTCCCCAGGGCTTTGTGACCTGGGTGAAGCAGGATATCGCCAAGGAGAGTGAGAGGAGAGGAAACCAGGACTGGCTGAAATCCCAAAGTCCTGGGAGTGACGCAGCTGTTCTGGGATGGGTTCAGCACCCCTGCCCAGTGCGGGGTGCCCTGGCTGTGTTCCCCCGGCTGTGACCCCTGGCTGTGTCCCCTGGCTGTGTCCCCCCGGCTGTGTCCCCACCCTGTGACCCCTGGCTGTGTCCCCTGGCTGTGTCCCCTCTCTGTGACCCCCGGTTGTGTCCCCTGGCTGTGTCCCCTCCCTGTGACCCCCGGCTATCAACCAAGAGAGGTGGGATGGGCTCAGCATCCTCTACCCTGGCCGTGTCACCCCAGCCTGTGTCCCCCAGCCGTGTCCCCTGACTGTGACCTCCGGCTGTGTCCCCACCCTGTGACCCCGGGCTGTGTCCCCTGGCTGTGTCCCCACCCTGTGTCCCCCCGACTGTGACCCCCCGGCTGTGTCCCCTGGCTGTGTCCCCCGGCTGTGTCCCCACCCTATGACCCCCTGTGTCCCCACCCTGCGACCCCCGGCCGTGTCCCCTGGCTGTGTCCCCACCCTGCGACCCCCGGCCGTGTCCCCGCCGGGCTGGGATGTCGCAGCGGCTGGAGCCCGTTGTCAGCCTCGTTGGCAGCTCCGCATGATGGACTGCGCTCTGCTTGTTTAGGTTTTGTTTCCAGCGACGACATTCGACCAAATTATTCTCCGCGAAGGGCTTTAAAGTTTCCCAAGTGCCTGTGAAAGGCTGGAAACGCTGATAGTGATCCTATTTCTCAGCTGAGTGACTGCATTCAGCCCCAGCCATATTGATATGCAAAACGTTAAGGGTCCGGCTCTAAAGATGGTTTCTGTCTGCCCTGTGAAAGGGAACCATACTTTTTTAAAGCCCGGCCCTTTCTAAAGCCGCACAATACCATATAGACTATGCCATTTAAAGCATCTGAAGCGACCCAAAATGTATTGAAAGCTCGCTTTGCAGACTCATTAAGACTACTCAATGCGTTCTGGCAAATACCGTGCCAGGGCTGACCGCACGGATTAAGACTTTTGAAGTGTTACACAAACCCCCTGCTTAAACTAATTGCTGCCCCGCAGCTCACGAGGTCAAGTATTGGTATTCATTGCCTCCGAGAGGAGCCACTTATGGCTCTGTCCAGGTGAAGTCTGCACTTCATTAGATCAAGACAATAAAAAGCAGCTTTGGTAGGAAGGGGATGGAATCTCCCGGCTCCTGCTCTGAGCCAAGCACGGGCTTAAATCCACCTCGGAGGAGTTTGTGGTGCTTTCAAGAGCTCCAGTGGAGCGATGTGCTTCCAAAAAAAAAGTGTTTCACTGGGGACGGTGACAGCAGCCCTGTCATACTTGTGCCGTCGTGGAGGGCTCGGCTTGAGCAGAGATTCCTTGGAATTCCGAGTGGTCACTGGGAAACTTCATTCTCCAGGGTCATGGAATCCTGGTTTGGGCTGGAGGGACCCTAAAGCCCCTCCAGTGCCACCCCTGCCATGGCAGGGACACCTCCTGCTGTCCCAGGGTGCTCCAAGCCCTGTCCAGCCTGGCCTGGGACACTTCCAGGGGCAGCCACAGCTCCTCCAGGAGGAATTGCTCTGAAACTCGCACAGAGGCTCAGGGAGAGGTGTCACTGCTGGATCTCCCTGCTCAAAACCTCTGGGAATAAAGTTCTAACAAGAGGATGCTGAGCTGTGCTGGTGTTTTCTGGGACACAGGGAGTTTGGGCTGCTGCTTGCTCAGGGGACGATGGCAACCACCCTGTGCTCCTGGAGCTGGAAAAATGTCTCTGGAGCACCAGGTTAATTGGGGAAGTGCCAAAGCAAGAGGATGATGAAGATCCAGCTTTGCAGCCAAGTATGAAATGAAGTTTTCATCCCCATCTCAGTTAACCAAAGTTTCCATTTCTAGACCAAATTTCGTCTTGAAAATTCAGCTATCCAAAGTTTTGTGGTTCCTGTGCTCTGGGCCTCCATTTCCATTCCACTCCATAAGCCAGGAAGAGCAGGGCTGGAAGAGCTTTCCAAAATGTTTTATTTACTCCTTTTTCTGTTATACCAGATTTAGGAAGACAGAAGGGAAGGAACAAAAATAGGGAAGAAAGAAAGAAAGCAAAAAAACCCTCCAAAAGCAAGAAGTTTAAACTTCCCTGCTTTTGCCCGGGTCTGGAGATGAGGAGAGCAGCAGGGCTGATTTTCAGTCCCACATTTCACCTTGAATGTTTATAACCTGTAACAGGGAAACTCATGCTCTTCCCTGGAAATGCCCATCCATGCCCATTCCCTGCTGCCACACCTGTCCCTCAGCAATTCCCCAGGTGAGGCTGGTGCTGCCAGGCACCTGTGGGCTATAAAAGCTGGGAGGAGGCACTGGAGCCTCCCCACAGGATTTTCCCCAGCTTTGCAGGGTGTAGAGGCTGTCCTGGCACAGGGAGCAGCACCTGGCACTGCCTGGTAAGTGGGGGCTGCTGCCAGGGGTGCTGGGCATCCTTCCTGCTGGTTTTGGGGGCTGCAGCAGGGTGGTTGTGTGCAGCCATCGCCTGCAAATGCCAAATTTATCCTCTGATTTGGAAGAGCGAGGCGTTGCTTCACTTAATGGATTTGTATCACAGGAAAGAATAAATGGATGCCTTTCTGGCAGGATTCCCCTGGCAGAGGGTGAGCCCCAGGCCCTGACTGTGAACCCCTCATGGCTGTGGGGTGGATGGGGCACTGCCAGCACTGCTCCTTCCCCAGGGAATGGGCACACACGGAACGGGCAGGAGGAGGGGGATGGCTGGAGCCTTTGGGGCTGGCTCATGGTGATGCCACAGCTGGTATTGGAGGAGAGATTGGAGCTGAAAGGGCTGATCCAACCCCATTTTTCCCAGTTTACGTGGCTGGAAGTGCTGGTGCAGATCACTGAGCCAGTGATGGGAAGGATCAGGCTGGCCCACCAGCTCTGTGCCAGCACTGCCATCCAGGCTGGCAGCCACGCCTGGAAATCAA